GATAAAAGATCTATGTTTTTGTTTTTAAATGAAAAATTAATAAAAATTTATTAAAAAAAAANATGATGATGATGATGATGATGATGATGATGATGATGATGATGATGATGATGATGATGATAAAGTTGGAAGCGGCCTTGGAGATCATCTAGTCCAACCCCCTGCTCAGGCAGGAAACCCTATACCATTTCGGACAAATGGCTGTCCAGTTTCTTCTTAAAAACTTCCAATGTTGGAGCATTCACCGCTTCTGGAGGCAGGTTGTTCCACTGGTTAATTGTTCTAACTGTTAAGAAGTTTCTCCTTAGTTCTAGGTTGCTTCTCTCCTTGGTTAGTTTCCACCCGTTGCCCCTCTTCCTGCCTTCCGGGGCTTTGGAAAATAGCTTGACTCCCTCTTCTTTGGGGCAGCCCCTGAGATACTGGAAGACTGCTATCATGTCCCCCCTCGTCCTTCTCTTCATTAAACTAGACATACCCAATTCCAGCAACCGTTCCCTATATATTTTAGCCTCCAGTCCCCTAATCATCTTTGTTGCTTTTCTCTGTACTCTTTCTAGAGTCTCAACATCTTTTTTACATCGTGGTGACCAAAACTGGATGCAGTATTCCAAGTGTGGCCTTACCAAGGCATTGTAAAGTGGTATTAACACTTCACGTGAGTTGCCCTGATTAATGAGTAAAGACTGAAATAGTTTGATGTTTATGATGTTTTATTGACATGTAAATCTCTTATCGTGTGCAGTGATTGCATTTCTTTCATGCATTTCAACTATTATTGATTTTTACTTGCTAATTGTGCTCTCATTTTAGCGGAGGTGTGTTATAAAAGTTTTTCTTTGTGTACATATCAGTCTCTTCCAGGATTGAACGTCACACCTCTGCTCGGAATAATGCCCAACGGGCATCTGTGGGCAAACTTTACTCCTTGTGGGGAACCCCTTGTAGCATTCTGTTCCTTTTTCCTTATTTCATTTCTTAAGCCAGGGGAAATTTCTGTGTTTAAACAGTGCCCATGGTTGCCATTTACTTTGCCATTTATCTGCCGCGAGTCAGCAAACTTCCAATTCTCAGAGTCTGCAATAAATTAAACAGTGTACTGAGGAAACTCACACTGTTTGCATCACAACCTAAACCACGTACATAAAAGTCAAGTTTAATTTACACAAAAGGAATACGGAGTGTGAATGAACCCACTGGCTGAGGCCCTGCCAGTGCCACTTTTGGATTTGCACAAAAAAACGAGGTGCTTCTTCGTCTTTTGTTTAGTGGTCATCTTCTCCAAACCAATTGCTGGTACATTGGTCCTAACACAATGCACTCACCAGCCCCAGGCTCTAAAACATGGGGCTGGATAGATGCCCTTTGAGTGCCCCTGGAACAGCTCTCCTTATGACCGATGGGGCTGCCATCTGAGTGTTTTGGAGACCAGATGGAGACAGCTCTTTTGCTGCTACAGAACAATGGTGGAGGCTCCCACTCCTGGACCCTTTCTCTGGGCTGGCAGTGGAGTTCCCCAGGCTTATGGTTCTGGTGTCTTCAATCTGCCTTCTCTGGACCCAAGGTTTGAGGTAGAGAGGCTCAATCTTGCTTATTTTGGCCACGCCAGGCAGGGGAAGTCACTGGAGAAAGCAATTGTGTGTTGGGAAGAGTTAGCGGTCAAAGGAAGCCAGGCCACCAAAGAACACGGAGGCTGGACACCATCGAAGCTGATACCAGCCAGAGCATAGAAAGACTCAAAGAAGCAGGGCAAGATTGGGTGACGTAGAGACCTGGCCCAGAGAGTCACCCAGAGGTGGACATGACTGAATGGATAACATCATGAGCATGAGCATCCAGTTATGTGGGGAAACTGTGAATCTCTTCCTTTACATATTGCATCCTTTTGCAGTTGGTAAAATGAGGACCCAGATGGTTGGGGGCCAAAGTGTCATGTGTCTGATTAACGAAACACTGAAAAGGACTTTCAGGCATATCTTTTCCTAAAAGCATTTATTAAGGTTACAGAGACGTCAGTACAGCATGGTGGAAAAATGCTTAGATCTCATCCTTTTCCGTTACACATACATATTAAGCATTTTTCCCTCCCTTATTTTGGGGTCATGGTTCACATCTTCCAATTAACTTGGACGACATGATTTACTTCCGGTTTCTTTTTCCCAGCTTTCACTGTTGCCTGATTTAACTGTATAAATACCAGACAGTTCTGCATATTGTCAAAGCAAGAATATACAGTATTTGCAGCGTTGACACAAAGGCTGACTCTGTAAAGCATTGTGAAGCAGTATAGAAGTCTAAGTAGTATTACTAAGTGTTGGAAGGAAGGAAGGAAGGAAGGAAGGAAGGAAGGAAGGAAGGAAGGAAGGAAGGAAGGAAGGAAGGAAGGAAGGAAGGAAGGAAGAGAGGGAGGGAGGGAGGGAGGGAGGGCAGGCCTCGGGGGCACAGTGGTTAGAATGCAGTATTGCAGGCTGACTCTGCCCACTGCCAGCAGTTCGATCCTGACCAGCTCAAAGTTTATTCAGGCTTCCTACCTTCCAAGGTCAGTCAAATTAAGACCCAGATTGTTAGGGGCAAATATGCTGACTCTGCATAGAGAGGGCTGTAAAGCACTGTGAAGCGGTATAGAAGTCTAAGTGCTCCTGCTATCTTATGGGATCTCGAAATTGTGCCCTTTTGGTGGCAGCCCCTGCCCTCTGGAACGTCCTTCCCCTTGGGGCTCTATAGGCCTCTGCCCTCCTCGCCCCCAGAGAAGCACCCAAGACCTGTTTCCCCCCCCCCC